AAAACAGAAAATTGAAAATAAAAAAAAAATTCGAGGAGGGGTGGGTGGGTAGCGCAGAAAATTGAAAATACAAAAGAAAAGTAAAATGTATTCTGATCTATCAGTGGGTTGCTCTAGTGTTGAGTACCCTCCACTTTCAACCAAGAGGTTGTGAGTTTGAGTCACTCCAAGAGCAAGGTGGGAAATTCTTGGAGGGAGGGAGCCGAGTTTCTATCGGAAACCGCATATCTATCCCAGGGTAGGGGTAAGATCTGTGTACACACTACCCTCCTCATACCCCACTAATGGAATTATATTGGGTTGTTGTTGATCTGGCAGCAAACTCACTCCACTATCACCAAAAGACACAAGCAAAACCTTGCCAGAATGCATATGCAAATATTATTGAATTCAATCAGACCCCAAAAGATATACCCTTTACAAAGTCATAATCATCAAAATTTTATGATAAAAAGAACAACAGAATCAAGATCTAGTTTATGTACAGAGGCAGTGGAACTGCTTGAAATTTAAAAATGGAACTTAAATTAACTATAGAGCAGTAGTTTCTTCACTATTACAGCAATCATTTGATTCCCGAGATTAGGAAATTAGCTTTACCATCTCCGGCAACATGCCGAAGAGGAGGATTACAACCAAAAATAAATTAAAAATAGAACCAAAAAAATTTCTAGATCTTCTGTCTAGGGTATTTTCTTCTTGTATCTTGTCCCCTTCTCTGTTATATATCTTTCAAATACAAAAAGTACAGGAAGAACTACCTCGGAAAGGGAGCAGCTTCGCCTAATACAAGTCAGCTACACAAGGGCCAGGCTGGTGAAGTGAAAATTATTAATCGCCTGAAACATACTTCCTTTCCGCGTAGTATTTTTTCTCGCTTGCTGCTTTCTTGGTATTCCTTTTCTGCATAAGTCAACAAGCCATCATTCAAGAAAGTCATTGAAAGAGCTTAGAGATGCTAAATTGAGAAGTGACCCAGTATCTAACATGATCGGCTCTTTGTACAAGTTGGAATTATCAATGTATTTACTTTATATATATGTAGTGAAAGAAAAGAGAACTACCGTAGTCACCTATGTTCAACCGTAGGTAGTTTTTTTGCCGACAAGTTTCTCCTAAAATAAGGAGAAACTTACGAAATTTTATGGTAAGCTCCTTGAACTAATACTCCCTCCGTTTTAATTTATGTGAACCTATTTCCTTTTTAGTCCGTGCCAAAAAGAATGACCCATTTCCCTATTTGGAAACAATTTACCTTATATGCAATGATTTATAGCCACACAAAGTATATGTGCTTCATTTTACACCATAAGTTCAAAAGTCTTCTCTCTTTTCTTAAACTTTGTGCCCAGTCAATGGGTTAACATAAATTGAAACGGAGGGAGTAGTATTTCTAACCTCCAATATTATCAACCATCTATGTTTTTTTTTTCCTAATGACAATGGTTTCTGAGCCAACTTGGAGATACCTCGACTATTTCACCGGACAACTCTGCCCATCAAGGCTTAGACAGATGGGAAGAAATCACCTTTTTTTCCTCGACTGAGATTTCAACCTGAGTCCTCATAGTTTTCCTCTCACTCCCCCCCCCCNCATTTTGAATCAGAATGCTTAGCAGCTGTAGAAAAATGTAATCAGAGATAAACACTTGCAGACTCATTACTAACATGCCAAACATATCTCATGATTTGTCAACTGTGTGTCTGTGTATGCGTGAGTATGCGGAAAGAAGCAACAAGACTCAAAATCCAAAATTGTAATTTTCTGATCAGAAAGCTAAACAGCTGTAGAGCAGGAATAGCTAAGAAGTAAGAGAATAGTAAATACAACATACCACATAGATCTCATGATTAGCGATGATTCTTTGAGCAACCGAAGTAGTAGTAATATCTTTTGGGCTCTCAATCACTTGGAAGATTCCCATGCTTTTAGGAACTGCATAAGGATCCTGACCCCCCTGCACCAGGGAAAACATTTCCTTTATAACATGCTTCCCACACAATTATGTTAATCAGTTCAGGGAAAAAAATATTCCTTCTGATCAGTGGAAAACATCAAGTTGTTGCATGCAACAATCAAATCGTAGACTTACTTCCATGGAAGAGTTGCTCTCAGAAACTGTCCCGTGTACAACCAAAGAAATGTTGAAAGTTGTTATCTAACACATGCCAAATAAAAGGAGAGAATGAATTAGTGACCAATAAGACATAAAAATTTTCTTTTCTATTTCCATCTAGTTGAAACGTCGCAATTCAGGGAAAAACCACCAACAATAACATAGAACAAAAACCGCATGTGCAAGAAGTGACACACATTTAAGTCTGTTTTTATTATATCTTTTTGCATTATCCGGCATTATTTCAGAAGTGCTGTGTATTTCCAGCACTATTAATGAACCATAAACGGCAGAGCATCACACAACCAATCATACCAAAATGGAAAGACGTCATGCCAACGCACGATGTTAGGTGTGGTACGGCACTAGACCACGTTTCCGACCATTTCAAGATTTTGGTGAAGGATTCACAATATAATTATGCTATGCGTTAAAGGAAAGCATAGGCCTGAATTCATTATGTGGTTCAGCAATTTTATGACATTAGACAAACGAGTACACTACTAACTACGGCTACATCAGATACTAGAATGGATCCAATTGATCCATCTTTTATAGACGAAGGCTTTTTCTTTTCTTAACGTTTGGGATAAAGTCCCAACAATATTATCATACCCTTATGGGGAAAACAAATGCTTCTTTTCTCCTAACAGTTCAACAAATCTGAAAACACCCCTTAAAAAATTAGTTGCGGTACTCTATTCGGGATAAACGGTCCCACATATAAGAATACCAAGAGCTACGAGCAAAACTGAGGAAGAGACATAGGTGTAGCTGAAAGTAAGCATTACCATATCCTGAGTTACTTCCCAAGGAGAACCAATGATGACCTCATCAACATAACGGCATGCAAGTACACTAAGACTGCGCTCATACAGATTCATCAGCGGATACTGATGTCCACGAAGTTCACTACAAGAAATTAAAAGCAATTTTCATTAATAACGCCTTACTATATAAAATCTGGAAATTTAAAAGACAAACATATCGATAGAAAGCAAGCCTAAGTTAATGTGCGGTCTAAGAATATGGATCAGAACAATAATACCATGTACCTGACAGTTTGGTCTGGATAAATACCAACTAAAAGAAAATCTCCAAGTTGCCTTGCCCTTCTGAGAATCTGAGAAGGGGAAAAAGTAACTTATGGGTAAAATCATATTGATGCAGGACGACGCTAAACCATTGCCATGAAATGAAAACATAAACGAACCTTGTCAAATATTCTAGACTTACCTCAACGTGTCCAGCATGGAAAAGGTCAAATGCACCATCAATATATACCACTCTAGAATTAGGCCCAGGCCCCTACAATTGAAATAGTACACAAAAATATTTACTTTTGCCTCTCCAGTAAAAGAAAGGTTACTAAGAAATAACAAGGTGAACGACATTTAGTTTGCTTTGACAACCATCATGATCATGGTCCTGTAGAGCGCCAAAGTTTTTATCAAGTTTACCGCAGTGGAGGTCAATATTCTTTAGTCATGACTTAAGCAAAATCGATCATCTATAATCACCTAATACCCGCTTTTATACTCAATTTGATTCTACTAGATAACCATAACTTGTGTGCTTGCAAGATTTGAATTTTGTAGAAGTTAAAACAAAATAAGAGCTAGGGAATAAAAAGATTATATTGATGGAGAAATGGGTCAAAGCGGAGCGAAATGGATTGTGAGGATTCGTATAACCGACCACAACTAGCTTGGGAATGAGGCATAGTTGTTGTTGCCGATGGGATGGTAGAAAAACTTAAGGAGATTTACAATAAAATAAACTCATTTCAATGTAAACAGTTCATCGTTTCTTTCTCGTCAGGAGGTTGCACATGTAATATGACTTATGAGAAGTATACTGCGACAGACTTCAAGAAGTGTTTACTCAAAACCATCTAAGCTTGAATTGATTTTTAGTAATAGATTATCTTATTCAACCAGCCCAATAGCAAAGTTTATATTTAAGTTAAAGTCATCACTACAAGATTCTTTATTCAAAGTGTCATCTTGAGGATAAAAAGAGAAAAGGTCTCTTCAGTCTACCCTATTTAAATTGCTTTAAAGCATTCATTTAGAAGTAAATCCTCCAAAGAAGCTGTTGTTGTATAGTTGATTTGTTCTTCAAAGTAATTTCAAAAGGTTCACATTGAATTCAACAAGAAAAAAGTAAACATGCTCATGTCTAACATGAAGCTTCACAAAGAATAAGTAAAGAGTACAATTTGTGGTACCTTCCCATTTGAAAATTGCACAATCCGTCTTGACGTGGGCAAAAAATGAGATATGTGACCGCCCTTTGCTTGTTTTTCCTCACCACATTTATTATTTATACTATCCGCTTCGCCAGTGGGAGAAGAATTGGAGCAATCTTGAGGAGTATTTCTACTTTTTGAGGAAGAGAGAATCCTCCCTACAAAAATGTGATTCAAAACAAGCATTACCCAAAGCAAATAGCTTATCTCATTGCTCTTAGCTAGTATCTGATTTGTGGAAACATTTCTTATTTTAATTTTTGAAAACTGTTCAATGGAAAGGTATGTTTGATCTATGTGTATTTTCATTCACTAGTTTTTGGCAAATCAATTTGGTTAGCAATTGAAACTTTTTTACTTTAAGAAACCATTAGAGGGAAATCAAACAGAAGACATAGACACTCAAATGGCTTGAACAAGCATGCTTTGTTGAAACAATTTAGGGGGAAAATTTCTGTTATTTCATGTACAACTTATTTGGCGAAGATGCTTTTCCACAGATCAGAACTTTCGAAACTCAACTAGAAAAGGAGAGATATAATACCTACAATGTCTGTGCTGGAGACACCTTCAGTTCGTTTAATTTGCTTGTAGCGACCAGCTTTTTTGGCCAAGGCATAAGCATCAGTTCCGTCTGGAAGTAGACAGGGATCATCACCGTGTATAATGTAGTCAATGTTATACTCATTGAATAGACGGTTCATAAATTCTTCAGTAATTTCATAAGGAGCACTCGAAATCACTTCATCCACCCACTTCAAGCCACTAACAAGAGCAAGTCTGCAGAGGATCTCAATTTAGACACGCAAAAGTTCCACTTAACTCAAAGTGTAAAATCACACGAAAGTAGCTCACAGTAAGAAAATGAACGAAATAAGTGGGAAGAACATTCATGATCATGTACTTGGAGTTAATCTTGTTTAATACAAGTACTTAAAGTTTCTAATATTAAATACGGATCGATCTCACACCTGACATACTGACATATGGAAAACACATAACAAATAAATCAGCAAACATCGAGCAGAAATCACATGCATCTATACTCTTTTCCCTTATCATTGCAGAAGATATTTCCGGAAGAAGGGAAATATAAGCTAACAGATTAATCAAGGAAAGAGTAGTAGAAACAAATGGCGCTTACTCATACCTTTCTTCCATGCATAAAACTGGAGGACCTTTAGTGGCAATAATTTCCTCATCACTGACAACTCCGACTACCAGTTCATCTCCCAACGCTTTTGCTTGTCTCAAAGCATTTGCGTGGCCGTAATGCATAAGGTCAAAACAACCATCCATATAAACACGAACACGCTTCTTCCCGTGCTTCTTTTTATGAAAGATACTTCGATCAGCAAAAGGATAAAGTAGAGTAGGAACACTGATCCCGCCAAAATAGCTCGTGGATAACCCGAGCAAGGCTGCAGTCAGCATGATCCCACCAAAAAGGCGTGGGTAGTAATACATGCCTTCCCAAACCCAATTGTTGCTTTCAAAATCCATTTCCTCTTCCCTTCCCTAACTTTTTCACGGTCCTTGAGGGCCTCTTTATGCTACAAAAGAGGAAGAGAGGCCCTGCAATATAAAGCGACAAACAAATAAGGCAAAAGGAAGAAACAAAGTATAGAGATCAATTTTGATCCAAACAATTATCAACAGTCCCCATTTCAATCTGAAATGAGAAAAACATCTTAATTCAGATCAGAACATTCTACTTAAGAAACCTATACATATTGAATCAAATCTCATCATTTTAGCAAAAGAAAACCTCAAACATTCGCCCTTTAATGAAACTACCAACCTAAAAATGAAAAACAAGCAGAATTCAAGATTATTGCACAAACAGATACAGCAAAACTAGCCAAAGAAAGTGAATTATAGAAGCCGGTTATTCTCCAAACAATATTGAACAATCCTCATTTCAGTTTGAGCTGAGAAACCCATAATCTTAACCTCATTACCATTGCAAAACAAATTAGATTAAAAATTCAGTAATCACAAATTGGGCAATAAAATGACCCAAAAATACAAACTTTATTGCTACTACCAACCTAAAATCAAGCAGAAATCAAATTTACTGAATACACAAATAAAAACATGAAATAAAACCAAAACAAGAAAGATATAAATCAGAAAATAAGATCTGAATATTGGAACACAAAATTATTAAATATAAAGGAACAAACTTTTAACAACAACAAGAACAAAAATATAATATGATAAAAGGGTATGAAAAAGAAAAAAAATTCAACAACCTTACGGAGGGAAGATGGTATGATTCAGAATAAAATGGTGAAATAATGAAAAGGGTGTATGATTTTGTTTGCAAATTGTTTACATCGAAATTAACGCCACATCCAGGAATCAGAATCCCAAAAAAATAAATTAAAAAATAATAATAAAAGAGAATTTGCCCGATCGAATCTTAACCTTTCTTCCTCCTTTTTCCCTTTTGTTTGTTCCTTTCTTTCTTCTTTTTCTTTGTTACCTTAATCGTTAAGGAGATGCACCCAACAAATATCAAATGTCTCTTTTCTTTTTTTGCCTTTATATACTTGCTCCTCTACACTTCTTCCAAATTTATGTTCCTAATTTGGATGGAAACAATTATTTATGATGTTAAGAAAAATAAAACAATATATATGCTATTTCAATTGAATTTCTTAATTTAACAAAAATAAAATATTTATGTGAAGTAGTAACATACGAAATTTTTTTAAAATTCTTATTTAAATTCGTATTTGCATGACTATAAAATTTTCTAATTTATAATAAAAAGAGAAGTTTAGAATTAAATTATCTTTAAATATATAATTTCGAATAAATTAATAAAAAAATAATACTAGCATATATAATGAGACAAGGGAGTAATGTTGAAATGTGAAACTATATTTTAAATAAGAGAATATATTTGGTAACATGTAATATTTTTTCTGTTTTAACATATAAAATATAGAAAAGATTGAATAGAGGAAACCAAGAGTGAGTCCCATGTAGATCTGAAACAAATTTTAAAATGATGAATATCGTTGTGAGACAAACTAATAATGATAGACATTAAAGAAGAACTAAGTTAAAGTAAATAAGAATTTTAATAACTCTTTGAGTTTATAAAATGAATATTAGAATAATACTTAAAACATTTGGACTGACTGCACAGAAATGAAAGCTTATACCGACAGTGATGTGCATCTCATTTTCTCTCTCTATTCTTTTCTGGCAATGGAATCTTATTGTAAGTTGTAACACGGTACTACTTGTAGTTTTATTCGAATCATTAATTAATAAATATAAGGGTCATTTGCTTTGAACAGTAAAAGAGAAAAGAAAGAATAGAAGTAGGGGTGTTCAAAATCAAACGAAACTGAAAATCGAACCGAAATCGAAGCTTAATGGCTTATTGGTATCGGGTTAACGGTTTAACGGACG